CAGTGCAGCTTGAGCACTTTAACCTGCTTTGAACTTATTCTGGGGTCTTTGGTACGTTTATAGTTTTTCCAAAATATTATAGAAATGAGGTAAAAACTAATCTCTTTCTCAATTTTGAAATAATACATGTGGTTCTACAACCAAATCAATATTTTCTGTAAGTTTCAAGGGAAAATATTTATAGTAATAAAATTTCTCTTCCCTTATTCCCACTCTTAACACTTTCTCACTTCTCTCTACTTTACCTTTAACATTTCATGTTTAGTAAAAAAAAAAAAAAGCCATAAGAAAAGTTGAATGTATTTATTTAAATACATTTTATGTATGTGAACATTAGTGAGTTAATCAACTATCCATGCAAATTTATAGCTATCATGCATTTATCTGTATGATTAATTCTTTTATGTGAAAATCAACTTATTAGCTGGCTGGTAATCACAATTTTAGAATTTCAACTATGTGCTTTTAAAAGACGACTTGTTGAGTTTTTACAATAAAACATTTGACTGTCTTCCAATAATGTACTGATTATGTTCATAATCTAGGAATGTAAAACTCTTAAACCCGACATGAAAAGATAGATGATTTTCTGTGTAAAAATGAAACATGTATGTTCAGCAAACATCTGAAAGCAATAACAAACTGGAAAAACATATTTGCCATGAATATAAAGAACAAATTTTCAATTTTCTTTTTTGCCAAGAACTTTTGCAAAAACAAATTATGTGTAAATGTGAGCAAACAATTCACAAATAAAAGAAGTATGAAGGGTCAATAAATATATGAAAGTATATTGTATAAGTAAAATAGTGAAAATTAAAGATATTGTGTCTATCACATTGTCAAAATATAAAGGAATTGTTAATATGTACTTTTGAAGAGGAAAGTACTGCTGGTGGAAATGTGCATTTGTAGTAAGGTTTTTGGACATCTTATTCATATTTGCCAAACTTCAAGTATATATGCCTCTTCACCAATTTCATTTATAGAAGTATACCATAAAATGTATTTGGATAATTGTATTTTTCTATATTATGCAAGGTACACAGATAAGTTTATTTTTCTTTGCAATATTATGGCACAAAAACACTGGGACATTTCTAAATGTCCATCAACATAAGACCAATTAAGTCATGTTTTATATGTATATATAATGCAGCCATTAAAATGAGGGATATGGCATAGAAATGAAAATATTTCCATCATGTTAAATTAATAAATAAAATACATCAAGGTCTCAATATGTGTAGTGTTATATTACCTGAGTAAGTTACTTAGGTAGGATTAAAAGAGGGGTAGGAAGAAACATATAAAGTGTTTTTATTTTTCCTATAGAAAATTCTAATACAAAGGTTACCACATTGTTAACTGGTTGTCTTTTGATACTGGAGGAAATATGTGGGAAGGGAGCTGAAGGAAAATTTAATTTGTCTCCATACAAATTTCTATTTTCTTAAATAAAGAACATTCACTATTTATATAATTAACTCATAAAATGTACTGTGTTAATTATTACCTGAAACAATAAAACAATTTAAAAATTGAAATAGACTATTTATATCAGTATGTACAAACTCAAGAATAGTGCATTTTTTTGGTAACGGTTTCCATATAAAACAAAACAAAACATGCACACAATATTCTTGAGGTTAATCTGACAGTTTGCTCTACAAACTGCATGATATTTCTGTATAGTCTTTAGCTCACATTCCAGCCAATATTTTAGAAAATCCAGGGTGCTTTTTTCCATTTATAAGAAAAAATAACTTACATTTTTATATATATATAAGGTTTTTAAGAAATAATTATTATTGTTAGCATTTTAAAAATCCTATGAAGTTACTGAAGTGAGAGAAATCTATTTTTAGTTAAAATTATGAGTCACAACTGCTTTATTCCTTGTTTTAGTTTATTCTAAACATGTACTTTTCCTTTGTAGATAAAAAAGATGATTTATTTTTCTTTCTCCTCCTTCTGGTAGCATTCAGCCGTGCCCCAATTCCAATGGCTGTGGTCCGCAGAGAGCTCTCGTGTGAGAGCTACCCCATAGAGCTCCGCTGTCCAGGAACAGATGTCATTATGATCGAAAGTGCCAACTATGGGAGGACTGATGACAAAATTTGTGACTCTGACCCTGCTCAGATGGAGAATATACGATGCTATCTGCCTGACGCCTATAAGATTATGTCTCAAAGGTATGATATTTCTAATATTCTTTGTGCATTTAATATAAACTTTCAAAATGCATCTGTGACATATTGAGTGTAGGTAAGAACATAAGAAATTTGTGTATTTTAGGATCCTCTGAACTTTTTCAGTATCAAACTATTCCCCATATCACTAAAATGCTACTTTTAAAATTGCAAGTAGTATTTGGAAAATATTAAAATGTATTAGATTATTTTTTCATGGTCTACTCTTTGTTCTCTCAAACTGGGTTCATTAGTTGAGAAACTAAATTTGTTTTTCAGTTTTCAAAAACAGAATTTTAGAATTTTCTCCATAAATTACAGAAAAACTGTTTTACTACTAGCAATTATTTTCCATCAGTGTAGATAAAAGAGAATAAAATTTAAATTGACAGGAAATGTTGATAGTTATTAATCAAAATACAGTAAAAGACTATTGATTAATGGCCATTTGGCCTTGGAGAACAGTAAAGAAAGTATTACTTTGATAACTAGTATGTAAATTAATTCACTTAATATATTTAAGCTATCTGAAATATTACCGTATATTACCAAATAATATAAATTAAGGTACTATTTAAAGTTCCTGGATAAGTAAAAGAAGATCTTTAATTCTAAAGAGACTAGTAAATAGGAATCCATATTATAAAATTTTTATACTAAAAATTCTTGATAAATTAGCTAAATATTAAATATATTTCAAATGTGTGTTCACTATTACTACAGTTTCTCAGAAATCAGTGACAAAATCGTAACTATAAGCCTTCATACTTTCTGATTACTTGCTCACAAAGCAGTTCTTAAATAATAAATGATTTACTTAGTGAATTTGTTTTTCATTAGAATTTCTATTTAGGCATTTCTTTTGTTTAAGGATTTCTTAAAATATGCAGGAAATCATAGCATATGTAAAAATAAACAAATTGAAGTATAAAAGCAACAAGATTTTTAAGAATTATCTTTCTTGTGCTTAAGAAAGCCTACCTTATTTTTAATCACCTTGATACTGAAAATTTTGAGAGAGATATATATATATATATGTATATATTTGTGTGTAATTAATACATTGATAGTCAATATTTTTAAAAAATTATGTGTATAAATTATTTAAAGAAATTATATCATGCCAAGATTTTGGTGATCAAAGCTTCTGAGGCATACTTGATGGATAGTGGTCTCTCTGGGCAAATCTGAGGGCTTTTATTTGTCTGTTTCTAAAATGCTGACTCATGCTAAGGTAAATTTTAACAGGAAAAAAGACTTTAAAATTAGGGATTCTATTTGATATAAGTTTGGTTGCATTCAACTCTTCTGTGTGTGTCTCTCATTGTTATATGTTTGATATATCTCTAACTATGGTTAAATTCTCCAATGTTTTATCTAAAAGTCTATCTAAAAGTCTAAGTATTTCATTACATGTAAGTGTTGTAATCATCTTTCAAGAGTGTACTTTTCCATAAGTAGTATAGAATAGACACCATGACTAAATTGTCATTTTATTTGTATCAGTCAGATCATCAAACATAGGATTTTTTAGAATCCATTCTGGATGTGAGTTGAGGAGGATTTTCAGCTTTTCTGTGATTAGGTTTTCATTTAAAATGTAGCAGAATCATTAACATCACTAGTTCTTTGATCTCTATATGATTTTCATTGAAATTGCCTTAATCCTTTCATTGATATTATTAATGGCTCCCAAAATAAGTCCTTAATCTTATAATTATTGCAAAAAATAGTTACAATGGATTCTCTGGAGCTACTGAATTATATAGGTTGCATCTATGAAGTGACAAATCTGCTGAGTAAAACTGCTTCAGGCACCCTGAGTAAATCATTTGTAGAAGCCCTCCTGGGGGGTTCTCAAGTAAAAATTGTCAGTTAGCTGAAATAGCTGTGGTTAATTCTCCATGGAGGCTAGTTCCTTGTTTGTATTTGAACTGTTAAATGTACTAAATTGACACTTGGCTGAAATAAATGCTTTGGCTCTTGGAGAAAAGAGATCGTCTTCCATCTTGTAAGCTTCCAAGAGATGGATGATCACGTCCACTTAAGCTGCGTTATAATGAACTTTCACTGTCATGCCAATGATAGCATGTTAAATAAGGCTAATAATAGCTAATTATGATATGGGCATATATATTAATTATGTTATAGATAGTTAAATGTGTTTGAATTAAAATCATAATAGAAAACATGTTTTTTAAAAGATATTTTAGATTTTTTAAACTTCTAGAATGACACTATGTCAGAGTCTAAAATTTCTAAGCATGTCTATACATGGGAGGATTATCACTAAATACAAACAATTATTTATGTATCTTTACATAACCTTGTTGATAAGCTTCATAACTTGCTTCAGCCTCAAAAATTAGACAGATGTCACAGGCAAGGACAGGCATGAAATGTTATTCACACAAGTGTTTGAATACATATTCAACAAATACATAATTAAAACTGTATACTAAAATGTTAGTTCTAGGTGTGAAAAAAGGAAGACTTGAAACAAAAAGGGTATGACATGTGATTTCTGCATTTTTTTTCCCCAGTAGAACTTTGCAATCTGACATCTGCTCTAGAGAAGCCAGTTTCCTCAGTGCCTTTCAGATTGAGCCTGGTATTCTCAAATCCAAGTGTGTTCTGTTGCTGTTCTGCCCCCAATCCCTGTGCTTTACCTCTTTTTCATTATACTACTAGAAGGCTTGTTAAAATGTAGAAATGCATTTATTATCCTTCTCAGAATTTCTGATTTCATTCACTGACTATCAACTGCATCCATCTTTATTTCGTCTAAACAATAATCCTATATTGTCACACTTCAGTCAGTTGCCTCGTCTTAAGTAAATTGTAGACTTCTAGAGGGCAGACTTTCTTTTGATTTTACTCAAAAATAACTTTTGATATGTAATGATATATAAATGAGTGAATAAATGTGCTCTCCAATTTTGTCATGCTCTTTGAAAGCTTCCCTAACACTATTATCTGAGTAATTTTTTGTTTCTTTTTATTTTGTCTTTACACACTTCAGAGTTTAAAAAAACAGTACATATAGCTTTGGAATCTAAATGTGAAATGACTGTTGGCAACTGATAACTGCAGAAAAAGTTTCGCATTTTGAATGCAGCAGAGGTTTCATGTTATCTTCAGTTATTAATGGAAATATTTACATTTTTAAATTCCACAAACACCCGAAAGTCCATGATTTGTAGTTCATTATGAGAGTTACTCTGGAGTTCAGTGGATGAATAAGCCAGGCCTGGTTCCTGCCCACAAAATTGTAGTTTTTTGGCTGATATAAAAACAAATAGCTTTATCAGTTGCTCAGTAATTTACTTTCTTCTCATTCATGTTTATTGAAGAGTTCACAACAAGTGGGAAATCTCTTCTACCTAGATAGTTTTAGGGAATGTTCACTGAAGAGGAAATGTTAGGCTGGTCCTTGAAGGATTGGGCATAGGTAGAACCAGAAGATAACCAAAGTATCTTTAGATATATAAATGGACAAACACCAAAAAAGAACACAAGGAAACAGTTTCCCTTCAGTGACCCTTCACCCATCCTTTTCTGGCAGGGCTTCACAAGCTTATTGGTGTCTGCCATGCACCATTTAATCTCTCTAGACCCTCTTCCAAACATGCCTGAGACCAGTCCCCCACCACCAACCATCCCTATAGATCCAGTGCACATGCTCATATGAAACCTTGATAATTCGATGGTAAATTAGTTTGGATACACTTCCCTTGTCAATAACCTCCTAATGGTGTCCATTTTTACAAATTGGACATAAATGCCATCTAAATGTGTGAAGTTTGAATATCATATGTTATGACATCCTCATGCCAGCTTTTTATGATAAATATTTTAAATATGTGATATAACAGCCTTACTTTACATAGAATTGCCCATATGTTTTAAATTAAAAAGGAATTTTGAATAAGCGTATATATGTATATATGACGTACATTTATTTATTGAGGTATAAGTTGTAAACATAAGTTTACAACTCACTGAATTTTCACAAACCAAGCTCATCCAATTAACCAGCATGTGAAGACTGAGAACATTAAGGGCACTTCAGACACCTACCTTGTGCTCTGTACCAGCCATACTCCCCACCGAGAATTTCTGCTATTGAGCCTTCTATCACCTTAAATTAGTTTTGCCCATTTTGTAATTAAATAAATGGCTTCATATAGTACTTGCATTTTAGTGTCTGGCTCTTCTCATTCAATGCATTCATTTTTTAATATAACTTTATTAAACTATTTTAATGTACCATATAATTCACCCATTTCAAGTGCACATTGATTTTTTTTTTAAGTAAATTTACCAAGTGGTGCAGTCATCACCATAGATCAGTTTTAGAATATTTATATCACTACAGGAAGATTCTGCATGCCCATTGTTGTTAATCCCCATCTCCTTCCTCACCCCATGAGATGACTTGTCTATTTTTCGTCTATCCTAAATGCATTATTTTTTGAGCTAAAACTGAATATTTGAAATCAAGCTAGGAGTAGTGGATGTTTTAATGGGGTTGTTATCAAAGATATATTAACCGTTATTTCTGGAGGCATGGACATAAATATGTTCCTTGCCTTTTGATTTCTCTCAAATCAAAAGATTATGAATCTAGACATTTAAAAGATGCTCTAGAGTTTTCTGTCAAGGAGCGATGTTAAATGTATAAAGGAGTATTTTTTTTCCTATTTAAATGACATTTAAGTTTGACTTTTAATCTTTTAGCAGCATTTTAGCAATATTACATTTTCATGTGTCAGAGTCACATCAGGAACATGCAAAACAAAAAGAGGCAGAGAGGAAGGAAGAAAGAGGGAATTATTTCTCACTTTTCTTGAAAAGTTATATTTCAGTTTATATCAGTACCACTGCAGGGGATTTTACAGCATACAAAAAGGTCTTGGTTTTTGTTGTATTCAATTCTGGTGAAGTTAAGAACCCCTTCAATAGCAGTAGAAGAAGAAATGCCAGTGGCAGTTTTTGTATGT